CAGCCCTGTATCTGGCTGCTCAAAAGCAGCCACCAGCCAATCCACCTCAAGGCTCCACCCCTGCAGAAGCTTTCCTCCCTTACTTTTACACGTTATGCAGAGCACAGCAGGCTGCTATCACCATGGGAATATTTTCCTCACGGAGGTCTAGCTTGCCAAAAAGGGAGCACTGCAACCCTTTAATCTGCCAAAGACACATTCAAGGGCAAGTCTGCACCTGCTCAGTTGTTGAAGCACCCCTTGCTGCTGTCAAGGTTTCCAATGTAAGGCTTCATGAGCCACAGGAGCAAGGTGTAGGCTGGGTCTCCAAGCCCATAGAATGATGGGACAAAACTGCATCATGGGATGCTGAGCTTACCCCCATGTAGTTGTGCCGATGGGCACAAATGGTTTAATTACAGCGGCAGAGGATCATCAATGTAACTTACATTGACTTAATTTTGTAGTCAAGACATAGCCTTAGCAACTCAAAACCAGTAACATCAACCACAGCCTTCGCCTATGTCCATTATACCCATCCCACCAGAAGAGCTCTGACCCCACTGTTACCATGATATTGGCTCAATTGGCCAATACTACTAAAAGTATACTGCATGAGCTACAGCCAATACACAAAACTGATATTAGGTACAGAAGTGGTCTGAGGGTGCAATTCAGACCTGGGCTGTTATAGTTAGGCTAGGGTTGAGGCCAAATTAAGGCTAGGGTTTGGTTTTCACAATGCTATAGTCTCATGAACTTAGAGGAGATTGAACCATTCTTTCACTCCTAGTGATGGTCCCGCCATAGCAAGGATGGAGCATATTGGCAGGATGGGGAAGCTTGGTCCCATACTATGACTACTCTGTCTAAATGGAGGGTTTTAAGTTCAGATCCTCAAACGTATTTTAGGCACTTAACTCCAATTGATTTTAGTGAGTCAGGTGGCTAAATATCTTAGAGGATCTGGGCCTTAATCTCAGTGCATTTTTATGGATTGAATGGGTTTCAGGTTATTTATTTTAAATCATGCTGTGAAATATTGGTAGGTACTGCAAAATGGAATTTTAATAAGGTCATCATAAAAATAAAAGAAAATGTTTGCTTTGTACACCCACGTATCTCTGGCATTTTATTATGTATGGTTTAAAAATATGGGGAGGTGAAATTATCATTAAAACCCTCCTCACTACTTCCCAGAAAAGAGTTCTAGTTCAAACAGTTGGTACAAATGAAGGTATATTTGTGGAAGCCATTTTCAAGTGGTCCCTAGGGAAACCAGACCTCAAAACTGCAGACAACTAAAAGGAAGTTAATGGGCGATGCTGATTATTGGACAGACTTATCAGTTATAAATGAGGATTTCTCAGTAATAGATTAACTAGAGTATCAGTGCGTATCAGTCTCTGTGTGGTAGACTGCCGTTGTCAGTTTCAAAGTTCACACTGAAAACCAGTAGAGTCTGAATGAAGTCTCGGTTGAGGAAGACTTAAGGGAAAGTGAGGTAAGTGACACACTGAAACAGACAAGTTATGAATTTAGGAACAGGGGGAAAAAAAACAGCAAAAATCAGTGATAAAAAGCAATACTTAATACTGTAGAGAAGTGTATGCAGCCATCTTGCTGTGATTTTCCTATGCTGATCTGCATCCCTGTGCTTGATTTTCAAAGGTTCCGAGCATATGCAGCTCCCTTTGACTTCAGTTGGTGGTGGGGATGCTTGGCACTTCCGAAAATCCAGCTCACCGTGACAAACAGTCCCAGGTAATAGGGACAGCAGTTGGAAAGTGTTTAAAAATAAACACCTTCCTAAACAGGTTTAATGAATCTGAAGTGGGTAAGGGGAGATTATTAATTCAATCAACTCTCTCAATTTTCTCAGTTCATTTTCAGTGAAGTTAATAAAGTGCCTGTTTTCCTAGGTTTTTCCATAATGATTAAACAGCTATTCCCCCCCCCCTTCATTAATATGTCTTAGAAAGTTCAATTTCTGTACTTCAATAGTCAGAGGATGGATTCATGAGTTTGTTAAGCACTATTGCTACACGTAAGATCTAGTGTCTCCTGTACCATGAGGGCTAGTTAAAATAACCTCTTTATTTAGGCTCTGTTGTACCTGTTAAATGTGC